GCCAACCACAACTAAAATTAAATGTGAAGATTGACCCCACTCTCTCTAAAGAAAAATTGAGTGGATAGGTTTCAGAAATCTTTGGATCTGTCATGTTTAATTTATATTAGTTGTAATAGCGACAAGAGAAAGATGGTATATGTGGAAATGGACAGTGGCTTTGAAAACAAGTATCTCAACAGTTTCTATAGATTTAGTGGTATGGGAAGGGGCTGCTCATGGAGCCCTATAAAGTATAACTGTAGAGGATATGTAGAAAGTGAAAAAGAATAGCTAAAAGTTAAGTCGCATATGCTTTTTTTTTCCTTAGTCAGAAATAATTTTCTATTTGTGTGTGATACAAGAAATAACTCTTTACTTCATAATATAGGGTAATTATCTTTTTCTTTATTGTGTTAACATTTACTAATTTAAGAGTATATGTGAATGTGGAAGGTAAAAGGTAAAGATATAAGTATGAGCCTTGTACAATTCGGATGGGCTATCCACAAAATGAGCCCACATGTGCCTCATATGCACATTCCATTCCCTCGTCCTCCTCATGATAAGTATGAGAGAGGTTCCAAATGTATAGGGAAGATTTGCGAGTGGGGCATGCTCCACAAAGAGTCCATCCAAATTTTAGAGAACATTGTATGGCATGATAGTTTGATTTAACTTTTATAACATACACTGAAACTAAGACAAGTAGTATTGATATTATTATATACTATAGATATCACAGTAGACACCATCAATCAGTGTTGTCAAATTGCGAATAAGGGTGCAACTTGGCTGGATTCAGGTTGAACTTTTATCAAAGTTTGAATGGGCCTAGCCTGAAGCAGTGTAAAATGGGGCCAACCTTAGTTGAACCCCTAATTGTGAATTGACCGGATGGTTGAACTAGTGAATTGATGAACTTTCTAAGTCCCGTATGTATTTGACAACTCAAATTGAGCCCCAGTGACGTATTGGGGGGATGAAAGGACAAAGTTTCTTTTGTGACTTTCTAGTGGTTAGAAGGGGAAGAATTTGGTCTATAATACAAAACTTGTCACCAAACACTGAGGGTCTGTTTGGTTCGCAGTTGGAATTGGAATTAGAATCGAAATCAAAATCCTCCAGAATTGGAATTGGAATGGTCCACTCTCATAATCTGTTTGGTTATTGACAGGAATGAGAATGGGAATTAGATTTAGCAAGAATTGAATTTCATTCCCAAGGGAAAGGCAAAAAGAAAATGGTCATTCCAACAGAAATGAGAATAGGATTTTAATTCCACCTAACCAAACAATTAGAATCAGAATAGTCCATTCTAATTCCAAACCCCTATTCCTGCGAAAAAAGGGGGCTTTGATAAAATCACTTTCTAATTTGTAGGATTTGTTAAGTACAAAGATACCCTCAAATTTCTAGATGAATGCATCCAAAACTGATTCTATATAAAATTCAGATATCAATATTCTATTTGATTCATTGTTTTGGGATTTGGTCTATATAAATATATAATCTAAGTTATCCAACACGTTAAATAAAAAATAAGTGAAACTTAGGACAGAGTCACAGAACTGAACCACACGTACAAAGAAAATAAATATACAAAGTTTTAACTACTGTCATAAACATATGTTGTGATAATCTAGGCAGGAAACAGATCTAAGTCTTGGGCTTTTAATAACTGGGTGCCAATTAATTAATATTGTATTCTCGATGAAGTTAATACAAGTTCATTAATTACACAAAAAGAAAGACTCTTGAAGGAGAAAGAAGTAAGCGTCAGACTAACCCTAGAGGAAGAAAAACTTCCATTGAGATCCAACAAACCAGAAGAGGGACCACAGTGGTTTAATTTTGAGACAGGCGATTCAAATCAGATTTAAATTCAATGGTATTGTGCTTGTCAATATTGAATTTAGGGTTTTATAGCACATCGAATATGGCTTTGGTCTGAATCAGTACTATGATAAACCATCTTCCTTCTTAGCTGATTAACCCAATTTTAGTACGGGCCGTCTGGGACGGCTGAAACTTTGATTGAGTCCCTTTGGTTGAATAGACTTGGAGAAGCCATTAGAAAAGGCTTTATGAAAGATCCATTTTTTTGTCAAGGACTTAAGGCTCAATTTGGAAAGAATAACAATACAAATATGTCACTATATATATGCAAAATACAAAGTTTTGCACTCTATATACAAAATACAAGTCTCAGTTTGGAAGAAGTACAAATACAAATATATACAGTGCAAATACGTATTTGTACATATTTATATTCCTTCCAAACTGAGCCTAAAATAAAGTTAAATTGGTTTTTTCTGGCTTTTTCGCCTTGTATATGCTTTTTTCTTTCTGGAGATTCTGTCTCTTTTGTAGGGCTTTCATATGGCAACTTCTTGGTTTCGAGAGGTTTGGCTCTTTTAGTTTGTGTTTGGAAAAGATGCAAATATGTGTGAATGCAAATATGTAGAGTGTGAAACGGTTCATATAAATTGCAAAGTTGGGTTGGTTTTGCATTAACAAATTTACTTTCTTACCAAACAGAGTTTTAGCTGTAATGGATGCAAACACGAATTCCAATAAAGCATATACTTTTTTTTTATCAAAAGCCCACTTGATTGCAAATTTATTTCTTTTTTATTGATGTGCTTTTACATCTTATTATCAATGTAATATGCATTGGTCTTTCATTTATCAATACAAAAATGTAATGTTGCCAAACACGGGCAAAAGTGAACCAGAGTGCAAATTTACCTTGAACCGGGATTTACACTCCATTTGCATCGTTTCCAAATGCAGCCTTAAGAAAATCTATCAGCAATATTTGATAAAAAGAAAATATAGATAGCCATATTTAGGCAACTCTTTGGACAAGCCTCTTTCATTATATACATAATAAAAAGTTTAAAATTGTCTAGTAAGTACTTAAGTGCCCATTAAATGTGCTTACATTTTTGTGCCTATTAGATCCGGAATACGCCAAGGCTTGTTTAGTTAAACAAACTAAGGCCCTGTTTGGGAGGGTTGAATTTGATTAAATTACTTTTACCGAACCATTTTGAAAATTCCACTTTAGTACCTTGAACTTTGGGGGTAGTGTCAAGTTAGTACCCAAACTTTCAAATGTGTCATTGCAGTATCTAAACTTTCAAAAAGTGTAGTTGGTTCCTATTATTAATCAATCATCAGTTATCTATTGAAAATATCAAAACTACCCTTCAAAAGAAGACACTATTCATTGATTTCTACCTTGAGACTAAACCGGTTATCTTTAAAGAAAAATAGAGTATGATAGAGGGAAACAATAACTTAAAGCAAAGAAATAATTAGACAAGAATGTGTTTCAGATCTAAAGATAAAAGACAATGACCTCATTAGTCTAGAATCTCAAATACCTCAATCCATTCAGTCTCAAGCTTAAAGACAATGAACTATTTCTTTTTTTGAAGGGTAGTTTTGATATTTTCAAGAGATAATTGACATCTGACGGTCGGTTAATAGCAGAGACCAACTTGATACTTTTTGAAAGTTTAAGTACTACAGCGACACATTTGAAAGTTCAGGTACTAACTTGACACTAACCCCGACCAAAGTTCAGAGTACTAAAGTGAAATTAAAAATAAAAAAAACTTCACGGAATGAACGAAAGGCCAATTTTTTTGGCTGAATGATAGCATATTTGGGGTTTCCGATTTTTTAACCAGACATGTCTTGAGATGGTCCCTACTGATCAGTTGTCCTTCAGCCCAAAAAGCAGTTTTCCCTTGAAGCTTCTCCAAAGGATCTCAACCAAACCAAAACTTAAGGATTAAGGGCTATTCATGCAGCCCCTTGAAAGTTGAAGCCATATTTATATTTAGTAAAAGCCTAGAAAGAGCAGCTCATACACCTGCAAAATCAACTTTTAATGAAACTCAGTGGCTAAGTCAACGCAGACGCCCTTGTAAACAGGCTCTTAGGCCACTCTCAAAGGTAGGGTCTAAGAGCAGCTCACACAAAGAGCCCAGCTTAATCACATCATCATATGATACATGGCTATGTATTAATTATGATGTCTCTAACTTGCCACGTGTTAAATTCAAGGATGGCAATTTGATAGATCCCATCCATTAGAAAACCTACACCCCAAACCAACATCACCCGATTTTTTTAAGTTCCGGAAATAGTTTATAAAATATGAATTGTCAAAAAATAAATTTGTGCAGTATTTTGCAGTTCTAAAAATGAAAAAGAATTAGAGATACTCTGAATTTGTATTTTATAGTTATTTTATCATAAAAATCAATGGCAAAATTAGGGATATTAGTAGGTCGGGTTAAGTGACTCGACCCTATCAGGTTAGGGTAAGATAACCGGGTTTCGGGTTAAGGTAAACTCATTACTAAACCGGACCCGATGACATTGCACTATTTATGGGCCGGATTGGGTTGGATAACTTGGATTCCATCCGATACCATTCATCCAATCTGAAATCGGGTTCGGGTCGGAGCGGTCATGAGTCAGATTCGAATAATGTAAAACCATAGAAAACCCGACCCGTTGACATCCTTGGACAAAATTATCCAAATCAGTCAAATTGTCCATTTGGCGAAGAGTCCACCTCTAATAATTTGAAGCTTATTTTTTCTAAAAAAGTCAGAGATATGTTGATCTCACCGCTAGCCTCAGAGAAAAAGCAAAATTCTTAGAGACCAAAGGTCAATTCAGCGTCGTCCGTCATCCAACGCCACCACCTTAGGCTGGTTGTTGATTCAGTTAATTCTGGGTGGGATCCACTGCGTGTAGCTCTCAACGTGGGTTTGACACTTGGCAAATTGTGGCCCCTAGACAGTGTTACGCGTCTTAGTCCCCGGGCCCACGCTTTCGCCTCTCGGTAAAAACTGAAAAATAGATAGGGACGAAGACAGCTCTCATTTGCTCCGTTATGTTCCGTTTGTTATTCCGTCACAGTGTCATGCTCTGTAATCTTCTCCGTCATCATTCCGTCACTGTGAAAACAGCCAGAGCAGTCACCAGACCCTGTACGCTCGGATCGTCTTGATATTGGTTTCATACTTTCATCTCTTCTCCCGTCTTCGCTTTTTTCTTTTATTTATTTCACCGGAAAAAGCCAAACATATCTGCAATTAAGAAAAGGTCCCACCAAATTCCTTTATTTTTCTCTCTTCTTTTCTTTTTTTTTTTTCTTTTTCTTCTCTGTATTTTTTTCGTTCTTTTGCCTGTAACTCTCTCTTTCTGTCATGGTGACCCTGCAAGGACCGAGGAAAGCAAGGCATGAGAAGATCGCAGTGAGGGTTCTGGGAGAGGAAAAGTAAAAAATGCACCGTTTTGGGCTTGCCGACTACTGGGTTTGGGTTGTTCTGTTTGTCCATCAACAAGCTTAAGCCACAGCAACAGAGGTACGGCTGCTTATTCTCTTTGTATCGGGACACGTATGATTCTTTTGTTTTTGAATTTATGATAATTTCGTTAAGAGATCAGTTGGGCATTCTTTGCCTGCTTGATTTCAAGTTCGGAAGCTGACATGCATTGCCTGAATGCCTGGTTCCTGTATTGATTTCGAGGCTTATTTTGGGTCGGAAGGAGGGGAGCTTAGAATTTGAACACATTTGTTTAGGTGATTTTGCAAAACGATTTAGGTCTTAGCTCAATGCATTTTTCAAACAATTGGTGGGCTTTTCTTCTTTTGAGAGACTTCATGCAAAGAAGCTTTCATTTGCAAGTAATTTCAATCCTATAATTGTAAAAGCTGAGCTTTGGAACTTTGGAGTCTTATTCGAAATATGGTCTTGATACGGGGGATTGCAATCTGAACTAACGGTTTCATGCCAGTTATCCAGAAATCCTCAACTGGGGTTTGTTTTGTCAAGTGCAATTTCATGTAGAAGAGCTTTGAGTCGGACTTGACCTACTTTTCCTTGAACCTGGTCGTTCATCTTTAGCTGAGGTTAAAGTTTTTTTTTTTTTTTTCCTCCCACCTTTAACTTCTTTATTTATTTATTTATTTTTTACTTATCATCGTTTGTTAACAAACATGTGTGAAGGTTGTCAGTGTTGCTACCTGATTCTTGTTCCTTGTCATGATTGTGTTGTAAAATTACTTCTTTAGAAAAGTAATCAATAATGGAAATGAATGAGTGAATTATGATCAATTTGTTTTTCTTTTTTTTTTCTTTTCTTTGATTTCTCAATTTCAAGCAGTTGTGACATTAGAGACTTACGCTTTCTTTCGTTCATCTCATTTTATGTTAAGGTCCTTAGCCCAGCCGGGTATCTTGCTTCTCTTTAGGAGGTCATGATTCATCTATAATGAAAAATTGTTCCATGAGAAACAACAAAAGTTTCTTCCTTCTTTCTTTGTTTCTGTTTAGTTTTTTCTTTAACATGGATTCTGCACTACAACTAGCAGTATAATTAAAGTTGGGTTTCTGACTTTGTAAAAAATTATTTGAACAGTTTCAAGATACCCAAAATGATGTAAAACACTTTCAAGAGTTAGGAGTAGTTATAATGATGCCTTGCAAATTCCATGGATTTTCAATTGACAAAGATGATAGTACTGAACTTGCAAATCCTTATCCCAACTATATGATTTGTTTAAAAAATCCTGTTTTTTCATTTTCTAGTGATGTATTATATGGCATAAATAAATAAATGTTATCTATAGAAGATTTCTTTTTTTTTTATTTTTCTTACTATGATATTAGATATTTTTATTCATTAACTGAGTTGCTTATATCCATTAAAACTCATTAGTTTCTTTGCTTATTAAATGATCTTAAGTAATATATTTTCTTACAGAGGCAATTATACTGCACACTTTTGTAGGAAGAATAATAGGATACTACAAACTAACAAACAAGGTTAGGAAAGTAAAAACAAGAAAGAGGAAATGGACTTATCGGTTGAGGTGTGTCAAGGGCACTGTCTTTATCAGAATATCGCTTCCTTTAGATCAAATTTGGTGCATATAGATATGTAGGGGTCATAGTTGTCAAGGTGGCGCCTAGGCGACAAGGCATCCTTGGAGGCTCGCCTCGCACAGTCTCCAAGTAGTTTTGTGCACTTTGTTATAAAATACTTTTATATTTTTAATTTTTTGACATTATAATTATAAGACATTATTAAACTAGAATATTTATTTTATGTGTTTATATACTAATTTCTTTTTATTATTTTCTTATTTGTTAGGGTTTAATCAACACAAACATTGCTAACTGCTGCATTGAACCCATGGTTCAAAGTATCGATACAGCTATGTGTATCGGCAGAGGTGTATGGCAGAGGTGTATCGGTACTTATAATGATACTCCCTCCTTTTTTATTTTGACCCCAAAGATACAATACAATATACCCGGTACGGGGCGTATTGTATCAAAATTTTGATCCTTGATTGAACTCTCAAAAATTTCAATACCTGAATCCATAAGCAAGGGAAGAACTTAAAATTTCATCGTTTCTTTTCTTCTTTTCCCATAACAAAAGTAGGGGTTCAGCCCCTATATTTTTTTTTTTGAATTTTCTTTCCTTTGTTCTTTTTCTTCTCTTAAAATGTTGATTTTCTAGACTTAAACATAAAATTTATACTTGTCTTATGAAAATTATGGATAATTATTATGAAAAGATGGTTATAGAACCTAGGGAACTGCCCTAGGATTTAATATGCTTGATGTCTCACAGTAACCGTGCACCTGAAATACTAGGTCTCATGAACTGCACTAACTCAGTTAATGACATGTATGAGAATGAAAAACGCAGAATACAATTGTAGAGAAGATTGTTTTTTTTTTTTTTCTTTTTTTTTTTTTGTGTGTGTGTGTGTCTTGAGTTCCACTTGTCCATAGGTATATATAGACCCAATGGCACTTTGTGAGAACAGAGACTAAACAAAGAAAAGGCACCACTGGAAGGTTACCTAGTTTAAATTAAAAGATACTTAGTAAAGAAAGGTTACAAATGAAGGGTTGCTAATTTTGAAATGAAAAGTCATTAATTTAAAATAAAAGATATGTTTTAAAGGACACTTTAAAATGAGGAGTCATTTAGAGTATGGAAAGATACTTTAAAATGAAAGTCACTTAAAATTAAGATTTAAAGTAGGAACCTGTTTAGAAGAATTTTGGCACCTGCATGTGTTGGCATGCGAAAAAAAAAGACTAAAATACCGCTATGCAAATTTCATCTGTGTACAATTTTTCTCAGTTTGATCACCATTTACCACTTATATAATTATGTTTTTATTGTACCATCCGACCAGTAGGATTGTTTTTCCTTCTTCTGTTAACTTACATAGCCAGAAGGAGAACAATCCCAACAAAATGAAAAATGAAGGCACATGCTTCGAGATGCTACTTTGGCATGATACGTAGTCTACATACTGAGCAGAGTACTGATTGATAACTGCAAATATGCTTTTAAATTCTCACTGCTACAGTCTGTTAAACTAGTTATTGTCGAGGAATAACCATATCAGAGAGGTTGACTCAATTTTCTTGAACTAACAGCATAGTTTCAATATCTTTATGCTATTCCTGAATCCTGATATCTTTTTTCTTTTCATAAGACAGGTCTCATGGACACAAGATCTATAAGATGTCTGGTTAACAGCTTTTCCCGATTTATTCATCTAGCAGCCTGCCAGACAGTGAAATCTGTACCCATACAGAAGGATTACAGATATATGGTGGGCTTATTGAAACTTTTAAAACCTGTTCTTGATGAAGTTGTTGACCACAAGGTACCAATGAATGAACATTTACTCAAAGAATGTGAAGAAATGGATGTGGCTGTTAATGAGGCTAGGGAGTTCATGGAGAAATGGTCTTCTAAGATGAGTAAGATATGCAGTGTGAGTGCCCAGTTTATCTCTTATTTTCTTCAATACTTGATGCAAAAGAAATCTTTGTTGATTTACCTTATTCTTTTGTTTCTTATATTTTCTATTTTTCAAGTCAACCAGTCACATGGGACGTTCATTGCATGTTCAAAAAGGATGATAGAGCTACCTAGCTGAACATGCCTGGAGCTTGTTATTTAAGATAAAATACCATGTTGTAATTTCTAAGAAACTCTATATAAACAAAGAAAATGTAGCATATTAGAACAACTATGGAAGATTACAAAACAGAACAAAATTTCATATTAAATAAAGTCTCATATTTTTTTTGATGAATGAAAATAATTTATTAATCCAGAAATTAAGGCAATACAGGAAACCCATGAAGAGGCACGAGCTGTTACCTCTTCTAACAAAGTATTGCATCAAATTAAAAAACAGAAGCATCTCTTCAGTTGGGTTTACGGTAGAAAACTACAAAAAAGAAAAATGAAATGATCATTCTCATGGAGGCCTGTAATTGATATTATCATCATTCTAGAAACAACAACAAATTCTGAGCACCACAAATGGATGTAAATTATGATTATATTAATTCCATATTACCTGAGAGAATCAATCAAGAAGAAATAATAATATCTATCTTGCCTGCTACTGTAATTTATGCATTAAGATGGGCTAAAATGCTGAATTTGAGAAACTTGGTTGTTGAAGGAGAATCAACAGTAGTTATTGGGTGGCTAAACATGAACCAAGAGGGATTGTGATACAGACTGATTCTATTTTTAATGAAATATGTTACTTATAAAAAAAAGAAAAAAGAGAAAACAGATTGACTCTTAGGGAGTTCACAGATCTTGTGATCTGGGAACAAGTGTAAAGTGGATACCTTGGTCTGCAAATGGTCTAGCAGATGGCTTGGCTAAGCTAGGCGCTATGAGAGATCAGATGTATTGAGGCACCTTCAAGGGGTGATATAAATCTAAGAATAGGGTTAGCCGAGGCTAACCACCTTTGTAACTTTATAATCTGTTCTCTTTCTATATTAATAAAACCTTGAATATTGACTGGATTAGTGAACAGCTAATGGTGGGTCTTTGAAGTGGGTTCATACAACCACCACCATCCTGTGAAACTAATCAATAAACACATTACAAGAGAAACATACAAGATATGGGAGGAAAATCCAGAGAAAATAGGAAGTGATTGGTAAAATTGAGGAATTGGATACTAAGGAAAGTGAAGGGACCTTTGAGGAAAGGGATAAAGAGGAAAGATGGTTATTAAGGAAGCAGTTTGGAGGATCTGTTGTTTAAGGAGAAGGTTAGCTGGATGCAGAAATCCAGACATAAGTGGGTGAAGGAGGGGGATAGAAATACAGAATTCTTTCATGCTTTGGCCAATGGGTGAAGAAGGAAAAACTCTATCTCCAAGTTAGTGATAAGATGATGTAACACTCACCCAAAAGTCTGAGACAGCAAGGGAATTTGTGGATCACTTCAAATCTATTTATAGGAGACCCCTAAATGGAAGATTATGGCTGGAAGGTTGGATTGGCCAAAGGTACCTGAGGATCTTAAAGTTTGGCTTGAAAGAAGCTTTGATTTGAAGGAAATAAAGGAAGCAATTTTCTTTATTGATAGAACTAAAGCACTAGGACCAGATGGGTCGGCCTTTTATCAAGAGTTCAAGACTGTTGGGACATTTTAAATCAAGACATCCAGAAGGTTTTTAATGAATTCTTTGATAGGGGTGTGATAAACCCAGGGCTGAACTCAACTTCTATAGCTTTGGTTCTAAAGAAGGATGGTGCAAATCACCCCAAGGAGTTCAGGGCTATCAACTTATTAAATAGCCTATATAAAATTATTGCTAAGGTGCTATCGAGAAGGATTAGGGTTGTGCTTCCTTACATCATTTCCCATAATCAAAGTGCCTTTGTAAGTTATAGGCAAATAACTGATCAGATTTTAATTGTCAATGAGAGTGTGGAGGACTTGATAAGGAATGGGAGAAAAGGAGTGGTGTGTAAGCTGGGTTTGGAAAAGGCATATGATTTGGTGGACTAGTCCTTCCTATTGTAGGTTATGGAGAGCTTTGGATTTGGAGCAAAGTGATGTAAGTGGATAAGGGGCAATATAGAGACTTTCCATTACTTTATTCTTCTCAATGGGGCAGTGGTGGACCATCTCCCTACAGTTAGAGGGATTAGACAAGGGGACCCCCTTTCCCCTTTCTTGTTCACTCTAATTGCTGAGGTCTTGGGCAGACTAATAACAAGGATATATTCTAGAAACCTGGTGAGGGGTTGGAGGGTTGGGAGAAGTGGGGTACCAGTCACCCATCTACAATTTGCTGATGATGCTATACTGTTTTGTGAGGGTGAGGAGATTAGATGGTAAGGAACTTTAAATTGGTGGTTCAACTCCTTGAAAATATGTCAAATATAAGAGGTAACTTTGACAAAAGTTGTGTGGTGGAGGGGTTGGATGTAGGCCTAAAACCTGTTGGAAAATAGAAAGAAGCTATGGGAACTTTAAACATAGCTAGAAGATGCAGAACCTAGAAGAATAGAAAAAGTCAACAACAGATAGCAGTGTCAAAGGTATTTGCAAGGATAAAAGGAGCTCCATTTGAGATTGGGCCTAACAAGATTGGTTGGAGTCAATTAGGGGCTGGGTTATTTGTTTTGGGTCTTTTGTTGGGTGACAGATGTGGGTGCTTTGTTGATTGGGGTTGTTTTCGACCCTCTTTTTGTATCATTTATATGTATTTTTTGTAAGGGATTTGGTTTTAAGGGGTTGACCATGTTGGGTTGGTTTGGACTGTCTGGTTTTGTTTCATCTTTGTTGGGTATTTCTTGGTTGTTTCTTTCCCCTTGGGTGATTGCTTATCACCTTTCCTTGAATCTTCTTTTTGTTTATTAAAATTTTCCTTTATCTTAAAAAAATGGATGAGAGAGAGGTGGTAGAAAGGGCGGAAATTTTTGGGGTGTGTGATTTCAGATTGGCCTCTGAGCTACTTGAGACTATCATTAGCCTCGGCTGATCCGTATCATATCGGAGCACCCCGATATGCCCTTACAGAGGGTGTATTGGGGTTCTGACTGGTTCAAGGGGTGGGGAACCTTAAACCAGCCCCCCTGAACCGGATTTGAAAAAAAAGTTAAAAAAAGTACCGATACTGCCCGATACGCCCTACCGACGTATCGGGCGTATCGATATTTAGAACCTTGATCATTAGGGGATAATTCGAGAAATAACAACTTTTGGAACCTAGTGGAAGATAGATTCACTAAGAGTTGGGTGGGAAGTGGTCACTAGAGGAAAGAATGTTGGTGGACCAGGTATAGGGAGTATTCAAAAGTGGAATGGAGCTCTATTGGGGAAGTGGTTTTGAAGATTCCCAATGGAAAAGGATAAGTTCTGGGCTAAGGTGATTGTAAGTATGGGCAAATAGCTGATGGATGGGACGTTGGAGTGTTGGAATTTTGGCTAGGGTTTACATGAGCTTTTCTCCCTAGAAATCTATACATGCTACTCTTCCTTCCTTCTTGCCTTTTATCAGGTATGATCTCTGTTCTGGCAACCGTATGAAATTCTGGGAGCATAATTGGGTGGGGGATGTGCGTTTGAAAGATCAATTCCCTTCATTTTATTCCCTTTCCTTTTTTAAAGATGAGCCAGTGTCTACCTTTTTGGTTCCCTTAAATTCATGCTCTGGGTTTGATTAGGATTTGGGTTTTAGAAGTGGTATTAAGGATCCTGAAATCCATAATGTTTTAGCTTTAATTCAGATCCTGGGAGGGGTGGTTTTGGACTCAAGGAGGAAGGATAGCAAGATATGGAATTTGACTTCCTTCGGTATGTTTTCATGTGCTTCTTTTTTCAATGCCTTAGTATAGCCCTCTGATAGCTTGGGACAAGACTTTCCAGTCTTGGAAGTTTAGGGTAAACCGGTTTCTCCAAGGATTGGGGGTTTTTGTTGGGAAGCCTTTTTGGGAAGGTGTAACACTTGTGACTTGCTTCAAAGAAAAAGACCTAACTCGTACTTATCTTCCAATTGGTGTATCCTTTGTAAGGCTAATGGTGAAAGCTGCCGTCACTTATTAATTTCTTGCCCTTTTGTTTTAGATATTTGGGTTTGGTTTTTCTCTTTGTTTGATTGCAGGTGGAACCCCACTAGATGTACAAAGCTTGTTTGCCACTTCCTTCTTTAGGTGGCCAAAGAAGAGGGGTAGGACTCTTTGGAGATGTGTTAGAGTTTCCACTTGCTGGACAATTTGGGAAAAAAGGAACTCAAGGATTTTTTCTAACAAGGAAAGGAATAAGGATGCCATTATTTAAGCGGTTACTATTAGAATGGTACAGAGGGTGCTATCTCTGGAAATGTTTGAAGGAATCTCTATAGATATGATCGGAAGGAATTGGAAGGAAGTGGTTGATTCAGCCCCTGAAAAAACCAAGATCAGCCCCCTTTGGTCTCCACCAGCTTCAGGATTTGTCAAACTGAACTTTGATGGCCACAGTGAAGGTAGCCCAGGGCTGTTGGCATTGAAGGAGCCTTTAAGGGTGAAGATGGGACAGTCATTGCTTTATTTTCTGGACCTATTGGTGTAGGTGGCCCACTTTAGGCTTTGATCTTGGCAGTGATGGAAGGGATGAAGAAGGCTAAAGAGCTGAACTGTTGCAAGCTCATTGTTGAAGGGGACTAAAAACTGGTTATAGGGTGGCTGCAAAAGGAAGAGAATGGTCTATGGAAGTTTGCCAATGAAAAAAGATTGTTCAACTGGCTAGCACATGGTTTGGAAATTCAGCTGCAGTGGGTAAGAGAAGTGCCAACTCCTTTGCGGATACTCTTGCTAAGCAAGGGGTGGGAAGGGAACAAATATTCTGGGCTACATTGTAATCTTGTTTTTTGTTTTTTTTTTTTCCTAGGGGAGGGTTAAGAGAGTTTACCTCTCCCTTGATTTCCTTGTACTCCTTTTTTTTCTTAATGAGAAATTTATGTTA